ATCTTGGAAACCGGTGCACCGGACACGACCCTTGAACCGTCACCTCCATCCTCGAACAACCCAGATAAATTGAAACCAGGGGAAAATGAAATGAGATCGAATGCATTCAAACTCGCAGGCCTCGGCAATGGACCGACTCTCATCCGAGTTTCCATCTCGGTTTCTGACTCGGACATTGATGAATGATCCGTTGAATATGATCCCACATCATCATCCACCTCTTCAACATTGCAAACTTTATCGTCTTCAATGTAGAATTTAATGTGTTTAAATCCCTTTTTAAACCAACGGTTCTCCATGATTTCTGGGATTGTTATTCGGGTTTCCGGGTTGGTATCGAGAAGCTTCGTGAATAACCGAACTAACTCGGATGAAAACCATCTCGGACACCTGAACTCACCTCTGTAAATTTTCTTATACATAGCCATTACGTTTTGATCGTTGAATGGTAAATAACCCGCCATTAATACAAATAAGATTACCCCGCAAGACCAGATATCGACTTTGGCAGCATCGTATCCTTTCCGGCCGAGAACTTCCGGCGCCACGTAAGCAGGGGTCCCGCAAAACGTGTGGAACAAACCGTCTTGTCGCATCTGATCCGAAACGGCGCTCAACCCGAAATCGGAGACTTTCAAGTCGCCGTTATCGTCGAGGAGGAGATTCTCGGGCTTCAAGTCGCGGTGGTAAACGCCGCGTGCGTGACAGAAATTGACGGCGGAGACTAGTTGCTGGAAGTATTTTCTGGCGACGGATTCTTTTAACCGGCCTTTGGAAACTTTGTTGAAGAGTTCACCGCCACGCACGTATTCCATAACGAAGTAAATCTTGGATTTGGTGGCCATGACTTCGAAGAGTTGCACGATGTTGGGGTGGCGGACACGTCGGAGAATGGCGATTTCGCGCTTGATGTGAGCGATCATGCCACCCTTGAGGATTTTCTCCTTGTCGAGTACTTTGATGGCAACGCTTTCACCGGATTTAACGTTGCAGGCTTGGTAAACTTTAGCAAAAGCGCCTTGGCCGAGGAGTTTTCCGAGTTCATAGCGTCCTAAGATAAGACCTTGACCGCCGTTGGAGTCTTTCTTGCTGGAGACACCGACGGAGGTGGCCATTGCGGTGGTTAAAAGTTTGGGTATCTGAGAAAATTGAATGGTTAATGATTGGCCATTTGAAGGAGGAGAATTGATGCGTTTTTCCTTCGTTTGAGACCAAATTTGAAGGTTGAAGAAAGGAGAGTCCTCTAAATAGGAAATGCAACTCTCTTTCTCTTTCTTCTTGTTTTAATTATTTTATGGGCTACTTTTTATTCTAATATTAATAGACTGTTCTCAAGAATTTTCTCGATACCCTAAATTTCATTATTTTAAAATAAAAGAAAATTTTAAAAAACTTTTTCTTAAAAAGTAAATAATATTTCCCAACTGTAAATGTTTCATATAAGAATATTATTATAACATTTAAAACATACTTTTTGTTGTTTAAAGCATAATTCGGTTCATTAAAAATTCCTAATCATGATTTTATAAATTAAGGAAAAATAAGCTGAGGAAGGAAACTTTGCATGTAATTTCAAAGCAAATCATTTTTAAAAAGGAAAAAAAGAATAGAAAAGAAAATGATTCCATTCACCAATATGCTGCAAACCTAAGCAAGAGCTGTTTTAAGACCCACAAGGCAATATAATGCTTCACAATTCACAGCAGATTACATTGCCATCACTATTTAAAAAAAATTATATTTTCATATAATTTAAATACTTTTATATTATTTTATTTTATATTTTCAAAATTTTATAAATTTTTATTAATATAAAATTCTACATTCATCTCTACATAAGCATCAATTATTACCCGATGCCATTCACATGAGGACATGCAAACAATACATATCACATATCTAGGAGCGAGCAAAACTAGACTCGATTCGTAAAAACAATTTTTTTCCTTGACTCAACTTGAAAAATTTTTACTCGAATTGACTTCGAGTTGTAATTTCATAAACTCGACTCGTTTCGAAATTTTTTTTAGTTTAAATCGAGTTATAAAATATAACTCAAATAGTAACTCAAATAACTTGAAATTTTAATAACTAGTAGATTGATTTTCATATTTGTGTCGAATCTCTCGAATTTATATAATAAATGTATATTACATATGAAACAATACGAAGAAATACATTTTTTTACGATGTATAGACTTGTATAACATTAGAACTCAAGAAACCAGCAACACAAAAACAATAAGAGCCTCAAGAAACACAACTAATTCTCAAGGTTCCAGCTAGATTTGTTTACCTTTCTACATGCTAGCCTTAGCCTACCAATCTCTTTAATTCTAGCAACAATACTCAAAGCTAAAAGATCAATATTTTGAAAAATCCTACAGTTACGCTTTCTCCATATCAATGGAATAGCATCGTTCCAAGCCAATTTCAACCCTAAAGACAGTAAGGACTTACCCGCAACCTGTAGTCCCACGCAAGCTCCCGATCCCAGCTCATGACATTTCTATACAAACAACACAAAAGCAAAATCTCCTCTCGAACCTTCCTAGAGAAATGACATTGAAAAAAATAAGTGATCACGAGACTCCTTATCGCGTCGACAAAGTACAGATAAACCATCAACATGCAACCCAAACGCAATAAGCCTAATTCTTTTGTAGGAAACCGATCCAGGACTGTCATCCCAGTTATGGTCGAATGTTTAGGAATGTAAGCTGAATGCCAAACCAAACGCTCTCAAATGACCTTCTCACTCCTAAGCCGAATGAATCTTACCCTAAATATGGCCAATCGATGTGAAAGAGGGTCCAATGAACCCTTGGATGCCAGCAGTTTTACTTCGAAGGTGCAGTAAACACTTCTATGTCCAACTACAATCTTGGGGTCCTTCAATCTACTAGGAGTCCCTATTAAGAACACAAGAATGGATCCTTGCAATCCATATTGAGCCCCCATTCAGAAGGATCTTCCTAATCAAATGAGGAAACAAGCTTGGCTCCAACAAAGAGGGTTCTTGAGCCTAAAACCCCTTTCGATTTCGGGCGACATATGACAGACCAGCTGACCCGAGCACCCTTAGTAGGCTTGTCCTCACTTTTCCATAAGAACGGGTGCACATTTGATTTATTTGCTTGATGACAGCCCTCAACAAACAAAGTTGCCTCATCCAGTAATTATGGATGATATAAATATTATATAAATACATTTGAACAACACAAAAAATCATTTGAATTAGAATCAAATAGTATAATAATATTATAGATATTTATAATTAAATTTAAACAGACACTCAAAAACTAAACTCAAATTTTATAAACTTGACTCGACTTGAAAAAAAAAATCAAATCATATTTGAGTTATAAAATATGGTTAATCAACTTGAATAACATAAAATTTTTACTCAACTCGATTTGACTCGATCTATCACTCAATCCTATGCACATCTTTATCATTCTCACATTGTGCACACAGCTCTGATATGAGAATAATATGGTGAATTGAAATATTTCTAATAGACGAAAGTAACCATGATAAGTTCGTTAAGAATGGATTTTAATTTAGGTGGAACAATGAACCCTCACAAACAATGAAATAAATGTTTTTAGAAGAAAACCTAATTCTTTTATGGCCAATGGGAGGAATTGTACAAAGAGTTGCGGCCCGACTAAAATTGATGTAGAAACACATACGGGGAACAGTTGTGAAACTGGAAACTATACCAACATACAAAATTGATCATTTCGTACAAGGTATATGCTAATTCTACCGATTATTTTGGACATTTCTGTAGTGCGTTAATGCAATCGTCACTACAAGTTGATGGTTCAGATTGATAGTACTTGGTTGTATGACAGATATATACAAATATTGTTGTTGCCAGTTGCACAAGATGGCAATAGGAAAACTATTCCCATTGCATTCTTAATAGTTGAAAATAAATATAGGCTCTTTGGAATTCTTCTTTAAGAACTTAAAAAGACATGTTCTATCATATGTTTTGCATGATAAAAATGATGAGATATGTCTTATTTCCTACAGAGACACATGGACCAAATATGCAATCCAACGTATGGGTTCATCCTCGCAACCTCTCTATATTTATCATTGCTACTATTTATGCCACATTGTTGTGAATTATTTGCAAAAGTTCAAGACCTAAGATAAACGCGTAATGGTTCTTCGAATGAGTACGTCTTTCACTCTTTTTAGTTTAAGATATCTTTTCATTTATTATTTCTTATTAACTATTGAATTTTTAATGGATAGACCACACGCATTCCGTACGTAAGGTTAAGGATCTACTTCAAGAATTGAGAGAAAAGAATCAACAAAACTATAATTACCTTGCTAAAATCTCGAGGAAGAAATGACTTCGACCATTTGATGGGGTAGACGATACAGTCACATGAAAACGAACTTGGCTGAGGTGATTTATTCATTACTGAATGGAGTATGACATTTTCCTATCACTTCTGTTGTCAAAGCGACTTATTATCGGTTGGCAACCCTATTTATAACATTGAAAAGCAAGAAATTGATTGATGGCAGGTGGCCACATAGTCCATCTAAATCTCCACACAAAATTACAAACACTTATGCAATATTCAAATGTAACAAATGAGACATGCGTATCTCGCAAACAAAATAAATTCATTGTTTTCGAATATTCGGGGCTATTGGAAGGCATATAACACAACATAAACATGGTTAATCTACAAGAAAGAACTTGCGACTACGAAGTATTCTAAACTTTCAAATACTAATGTGCGCACGTCATTGCTTCTTGTTCTTATATACGAATTCAATACATGTAATTCATTAATCCAATATACTTACTTAAAATTGTATTCAATGTTTATCAATACGAGTTTCCTCCTATTGGAAATAAATAGGATCCGGATGAAGTTGATGATGAACGTACAATACGACCAGATTTTGCACTACAACATTAAAAAAAAAGGTTGTCTACTTTCAATGCGAATTTATTGTGATGAGGATTTGGTCTAACATTGAGAGAGAATTGGATAGCCGAAAGTATGCACTATCTATAGGAATCCCGAAGACATGAAGAACAATGTTGTTGAGTTAATCGATCGATGAAATAACCAAGATAGGGTGAATTAGCAATAAAAATTTTGGTGGAAGCTTTTGCAGAAAATAGAAAATATTTGCACAGCGATTTAGAGTGGTTCGACTTTCTCAACCAAAGTCTAGATCCACTACCTTAGCTATCCACACTAAGGATTTTCCACAAATTCACTAATTTGTCTTTCTTTTGAGGACAAAGAGTAACCTTACAAATCCCTCAAGAATTATACCCCAAATTCTTGAGAACACTCTCTCCCAAAGAGAAATACACAAATTTTGCAAACTTACAGAAAAACCTCATAAGACAAAATATTTGCATAATTCTAAAACAAAAAAAGAACACTCAAGAATGAATACAATTAAGCACAAAGGGTGTTCTTGAAAGAAAAATGAATATTGAGTGGAAAATAGGCTTGAAATGCTCAAACTTGATGTTTAAGGCTTTCTCTTTGATTCTCTAGCTTCTCTTCTTAATTGTAGTTGATCAATGGCTCCTCAGCTTGTTTAAATATACCTTGAATTGATTCTAAACATTGGGGATAATTGGTGAAGTCAATAGATCCGTTATGGTGTAATTATCATTTAAAAATCTGTTGGGAGCGTAGGTGCATCAGTACACTCTCAAGGGTGTATTGGTACACTGTGTGTAAAATTCAAATATTTCGATTGTTATATGACCTAGTGTATTGGTATACTCCAGGTGCATCGGTACACTAATTGTATTCGATGTTTCTCGGAGCCAATAGTGTATCGATGCATGGCTGCGCATTGGTGCACAAAATAGATTCGATGTTGGGTGTGCATCGATACACTAAAGAGTGTATCAATACATCCCTTCCTAAAAATAGTTTTTGGCTCATTATGGTTCGAAATACTTTGTCAAAATTGTTTCAAAAATATTTTAAGTTTAAAACACAATTTTACACTTTAGTAAGCATTGATATTGACCTTTGAAAAACTTGGAGTAATATTTGTGATATTCGAATAATTTAATCGAATATACTTTAAAAATGATTGTAAAATCTTAAAATTCAATAACACTTAATATGTTATATCGAAACATCAAAATGTTTTCAACAATCTCCCCCTTTTTGATATAACAAAACATTTGAGAAATTTTAAGATTTTCTTTGAAAAATCATTTTTGAAAAATAAACAATTTTGAGAATTATTCCCCCTTACTATATTCTTCCTTTTTTTGTTAAATCAAAAAGACTCTATAAAACGTTTTTAAACAAGATTTATTCTCCCCTTTAGGAAAATAGCCAATTGATTTAAAAATTTAAAGCTTAAGCTGTTAAGATCACAATCAAGAGAAAGGTTGGCCATTGTTCCAAAAATCAATATTCATAAATAATGTGAATTGATAATTGTTCATATTTCAACTAAGATGTAAATAATGCAAAAATTAAATTAATCAAATTAATCAAACCAAATTCAAACAAGAAAAAACAAATATATAAACATTCAAGTTTAAACATTCATAATATTCAAAACATAACAATCTAAAAACATCCAAAATGTTTTAATAGTTAAGTTCTATCGCAACCTAAGAAAACAAAGCAAGAAAAAGGTCTAATCGTACATCGGTTGATCAAGAGGTGATAAATGTGCCCATATATTGGCCACATCACATGTAAGTGTGTCGACCCTTTCGTCCATAGCATCGAAACGATGATTCATCGCTTCGTTGTTAGCAGTTAAATGCGATTCGATGGAGGCAAACCTCATATCAAGATTCTCCATAAAAGATTGGGAGTATGAAGGCATATGACTTTATTGTTGTGCCGGCTTGCATCGGGTACGTGATCATCAATATCGCGCATGAGTTCTTCAAGCTCTGGATCATCGTCTGCAACCGGTGATGGTGGAGCTCGTGAAGAGCTAACACCCGGTGTTTTCTCGGTGGATCGAACCCATTGATCCTTTTCCCCGGACCATCCTGATTTCTTCAAAGTTGTGAAATTTTTTTGGTTCTTGAGAGGGATGAGTACATGAAGCGAGACTCAAAGGTTGGATTTGATAAACAAGTTGCTATGAAGACAACCGTAAACTAAGGTTTCGACAAATTTGGATGGGACATTATTTACGGTTTCAACTAGCTCGGAGAAAATGACTTGTGGCAAATTTATTTTCTTTTTATGTTGGATATAATGTATCCACCATAAATCTAAAACTCTAAGGGAGGAGTACCTACCTCCCTATGGTCTAAACCACCAAGAGATGATCAAGTGAAGAAAATGCTCGTGATAAGTTCTTAAGGTACTTGCAATAGCCTTAGCTTTATAAGGTGTTGCCACAATCTCTTTTTCGTTATCTAAACCTTCGTTATCTAGTCCAAAGGTGTTAGCGATTATGTCGGAGTCGATATAAACGAATTAGCCTAAGAGATAAGAGCAAATTCCTACGGTGGCGGTACGAGACTCGTTTTGGACACAAATCACATTGGAATAGAAAATACGGACTAGTTCGTGATAAACAATAGGTTTGAGGTGAAATAGTTTATCGAATTTCCACGATCGAAGGGTAGGAAGATATTCAAATTTCATATCGACCATGGCTTGGATTAAGGGGAAACGCTCTTCCCGGATTTTATATGACTCAAATAAATTATATTACCTATGGTAGAGATTATCTCTACGACCAGGTAGGTTAAAACAAGAATTAAGAATGGTCATATCTGGTTCATTTGGATTTGGATTTTGAGGTGGAGGTAGAATAGAAGGTCGGTTTTGGTTTGAATGACTCGATGAAGACCTAGGGCGTTTTGGATTAGACATGGTTAAAGATCAGAATGGGTAAGGTTACTTGCAAATTTGAAACACATGTGTGCAATATAATCAATCCCAAAACTCAATACGAGTCTTCAATATTCAAGGTTCTCTAAAATAATAATAATGGGCAAATTTGAAAACTATTTTTGAAAACAATGTTTGAAAATCAATACGTAGTTTTCAAAACAACATAATTAAATCAAAAAAATCAAATTTTAAAATCAAAATACATTTTTTTTATTTCGAAATTACAAAAAATTTGACAAATTTTGTGTTTTGATGAAATTAGTTGTTGAATCTAGTTTAGAAACATAATATTAGTAATGCTTGATATCTAATTCAACCTAGAACTAATTAAAACTAGTCCTAAGTTCAAAATCAATAAAATAGTGGTTTTAGAAAAAAATTTACCTTGAGAATTCATATTCAGTGGAATGTAGTGATGTTTTGCACAATTTTAATGATCGTAGCAGGATTAGTAGTTAAAGAACGAAGAGATTCCGACTTGAAGCGTTGGATTTGAGCAATTTTTTAGAGTAAGGTGAGAGAGAGGGGCGTACGACTATGAGAGTTTAGTTTTAGGGGTTTTTGAAAAATATTAGTTTTAGGGATTTAATACCCAAAACTCGACGAGTGTATCGGTATACTCTTGAATGTATCGATGCACATTCAAGGAATGCATCAGTACACTATCATAGTGTATCGATGCACTTTGCACAAAAATGACAAAAATCTGTTTTAAACATTTAGAATGCTAAATTAATTAGCTCTAGTGGTATTGGAAACTCATAGATCGAAAATTAACTATGTTCAATAAATCAAATATATACTTAAAGTTTATTTGAACATATTATTAATTTTCACTAAAGATCATAAACTCCCCCTAACTATTAGAAAAGAATGCAATCAAAAATATTATTTTTTATAAGCATTTTTCATTTCTAATTAAAAGTGCTAAAATTATTTTAAACACTAAGTCAAAGTAGGTTGGTTAAACCTAATTCTCTCCTAAGTGTCCGAAATCTTTCTTTATCTAAAGGTTTTGTAAAAATATCTGCTAATTGATACAAAGTATCAATATATTCTAGAACTATATCTCCTTTAGTGGCATGATCTCTAATGAAATGATGTCTAATTTCAATGTGCTTAGTTCTAGAGTGTTGGATGTGATTTTTAGTGAGACAAATAGCACTAGTATTGTCACACTTGATAGGTATGGTACTAACTTCAATTCCATAATCTAAAAATTGTTGTTTCATCCATAAAACTTGTGCGCAACAACTACTCGCTGAAATGTATTCCGCTTCAGTGGTAGATAATGCAACACAATTGTGTTTCTTTGAAAACCATGAAATCAACATATTTTCTAGGAATTGGCAAGTACCATAGGTGTTTTTTCCTATCTATATTGCATCCTCTATAATCCGTATCAGAGAAAGCATGCAAACTAAAGCTAGAGTCTCTAGGATACCAAAGTCATAAACAAGGAGTGTCCTTAAGTTATCTAAAGATCCTCTTAATGGCTTTTAGATGTGATTCCTTAGGGATTGATTAAAATCTAGCACATAAGAAAACACTAAACATAATGTCTGGTCTACTTGCGGTTAGATAAAGCAAAGAGCCAATCATGGACCTATATAATTTAACATCTACACATTTACCTCCTTCATCTTTGTCAAGCTTTGTAGATGAGCTCATTGGAGTGGCTTGGGGTTTTCCATCTTCCAATCCAAACTTTTTGAGCATATCCTTGACGTATTTTACTTGATTGATAAAGATGTCATATTTTCTTTGCTTGATTTGGAGTCCCAAGAAAAATGAGAGCTCCCCCATCATGCTCATCTCGAACTCACTCTGCAGTAGCTTAGAAAATTCTTAGAAAAGAACATCATTAGTAGAACCAAATATTATATCATCAACATAAATTTGAACTACTGATAAATCTTTACCTTTTTGCTTTAAAAACAATGTAGTGCCAACCTTCCCTTTGGAAAAACCTTTCTCAATTAAAAAGTTTGACAATCTTTCATACCAAGCTCTAGGAGCTTGTTTTAAACCATAAAGTGTTTTTGTCAACTTAAGAAACATTTAAAAATGCACTTTTAACATCCATTTGATATAATTTAAATTCATTGAAACATGAAAATGC